TGTGGTGTTGGCAAAGAATACTGAAAATACCATGGGCTGCCAGAAGGATGAACAAATCTATCTTGGAAGAAGTATAGTCTAAATGCTCCTTAGAAGCAAGAATGGCCAGACTGTCACTTGTATTTTGGTAAAGTTATCAGAAGGGATATCCCTGGAGAAGGATATCATGCTTGGTAAGGTGGAGGGTCAGTGAAAAAAGGAGAAGACCCTCAACAAGATGGACTGGCACAGTGGCTGCAGCAATGGGCTCAGGTATGGCAGGGACTGTGAGGATGGCGCAGGACCGGGCAGGGTTTCACTCTGTTGTACGTAGGGTCACTATGAGTTGGAGCCGACTCAATGGCACCTAATAACCTAACAACAACAGCCCCTCTGTGGGAGAAAGATGTGGCAGATTTATAACCTTAGAAATCCTATAGGGCAGTTCTACTGTGTCCTATAGGGTCACTATGAGTCAAAATTGACTCAATAGCATTTTTTTTTCACTAACATATTATGTTCATTTTACCAGCCAGTTACTGTGGAGTTGCTTCTGCCTTGCAGTGACTTCTGCATGTCAGCAGAACTGTGCTCCGTAGGGTTTTCAATGGCTGCTTTTTCAGAATTAGACGGCCAGGCCTTTCTTCCAAGGCCCATGGGTGGACTTGAAGCTGCAGTCTTACAGTAAACAGTGTTAACTGAACCCAGGGACTTCTATTATGTCCAGTTAAAGCTCATAAAACTAATAGAAATTTAAAAGCATAAAATAAAAGAGGAAATTATTTTCTTTATTTTATATATTAAGCTATAAAAAGACCTTTTTATTCTTACATAAAAAAATTATTATTAATTCAGGGTAGTTACTTTGTACATGTTTTTCTAATCATAATGACTTCACACCAAGGCGTACTGATACTCAGTTTGGGACAACACTATCTTTCACTATAACCAGTTGCCATCAAGATGCATTTGACACCTGGCAACCCTGTGTGTATCACAGCAGAACTATGACCCATAGGGTTTTCATTGGCTGATTTTTCAGAACAGATTACCAGGCCTTTTTTCCCATTTTTAATTGTCTCTCTCATTGGGTTTCCAAAGCTATAACTCTTTATGGAAGCAGTTTGCCCCATCTTTCTTCTGTGGAGCAGGTTGTAGGCTTGAACCACTGACCTGGTTAGCAGCCAAATAAATGCCTTACCCACTACGCCACCAGAGCTCCTTATTTTTAACTATGTTTGTTTGTTGGTATGTGCCATGGAGTCGAACCCAACTCATAGCAACCCCTCCTTGGGTTTCCAAGGCGGTATCACTATGGAAGTAGATTGCCTAACCTTCCTTTCGAGGAGTGGCTGGTGGGTTTGAACTTCTAGCCTTCTGGTTACCAGTCAAGTGCCTTAGGCACTATGCTACCAGAGCTCCCATTTTTAACT